GTCCACAGCTGAACTCTGCACCACCCAGTTCACTCTGCTCGTGATAAACTGTTGAAATTTAAATGTGAAAAGGTAAGCGATTTCCAGAGCAGCAGTGAAATGTTTTTTGTTTTGGTTTTTTACTCAAAAGAAACAATGATTTATTTACAAAAAGTACAAAAATGTGAATAACAAAATGAATGAATAAATGTAATTTAAGAAATGGCAACTAAAGTCTAAATTAGAACAGAAAGTGAAACATTGCAGTGAAATTTTGATGCTTCAAAGAACAGAGTTTTGTCTGTTTTGAACTGAGTGAAGCGGCTTTGAGCGTCATGAAAAATGCTATACAAAAGTTATGTATTTTTATCATTATTATTATTACCTCGTCTTTAACGGCCCTCGGCTCCAGAGCTCTGCTGATTCTGCAGCCCAGGACTGGAGTGGCTGGCAGAGAGGAGTGTGCGATACTCTCCAGTTTGTTGAACATGTCTGACTCTGTTCCTCCAAACCAAACACGATGGCCGACTATGTCCCATTTTTTACGCCTGGACCTAAAGATACAGAAACTCTTAGTGAGGTTTTTAGATGATTCTTACATACAGTTTTGTGCTTACAGCTGTGAGGCCAGTCTGCTGATCCTGCGCAGCTCAGGCAAAGACACACTTCCATCTTCCTCCCTCTCCACTGTTATGTCCAGCTCCTTCACCACCCATTCTCCTTCTTCTGATAAATGGTACCTATGTTGTGTAGATTTTTTTTATGTCACTAAAGCTGCTAATAACCATATACTGAAATAAACCACAGTAGAAGCTTGACTGTACCGGCGTATTCCTTTGGTGAGGGCGTACATCTGCCTGGCCTTGCTGGCAGCTTCTGTTTGTCCGAGCCGGTGGTTGAATTGCATGAGGAGTCTCTCTGCGAAGGGCTGCCCTGCTCCATAGATGCGCCCGTAGTTAAAGACTTTGGCGTGTTCTCGGCTGATGCCCACAGCTTCAGCAGTGCGGCTGTGCAGGTCTGTGCTCTGACTCTTTTTGCCCTGGAGGGTCATCCAGCCAAACGCAGTAGAACCTAGTAGGAGTAGGAAACAGTATTGAAAATATTTAATATATTAGGTAATTATACAAATAGCATTTTGTTTGTAACATTCTCTGACCGTGCATTCCTGCAAAGTGCGCTTCTCCGAGCACAGCAGCGATCCACAGCTCCTGAGAGTCCACATCAGCTCCGACCAGGTGGTACCCGGGAGGAACCTGGACCATAGCCTTCAGCTCACTGCCCACACGGTCCCTCTGTGGACAGGGCAGAACATTACCACTGTACCTCCTCTTATCATTGACCTGTATAGTGTTTCTCTTACTCTAGCATTACTGGCAGTCAGCCATGTTGGCTCCACGGCTCTGCGTGTCACTGTTCCAGCTGTGATGACCTGAGGTAAAATGGCTCCATACAGACCTTCATCATCAAAGTCTTTGTGTCTTCAATAACACAACACACATACATCATTCACATTTGTCAGTTACACTTAATTTCACGAGAAAACAGTAAATACAAACCTGCTGACATTGCGAGGCAGCTCTCCTTTCCTCAGCCACACAACCATCTGAGAGCTAAAACACCTCAGTCAGAATTGACGCACCTTTAAATAAAGCTCTAAATATGTGAGTACCTTATGCGTTTATGTGCGTTCCTCCAAAAGGACATCATTTTATTGATCTCCAGCGCTCGAGTCGCATTAGTCCCTCCACTTTCAGCCCTCAGAGTTCCATCTTCCATCTTTGGCAAAAAGTCTTTGGCAAAGGGGCTTCCAACATTGTTATGATTACCATCCTGAAAAATAAAAGGTTTTAGATAATTCACTGAATTGACAAACCCCTGTTTGTAGTATACACCAAACTTCTTAACCTTATGAGGCAATTTAAAAAACCAACAACCAGGGATGTCTACATCGTTGTAGGGGCCATTTCCAGTGTGATAGTGGCACTGACTGTTCTCTAAGACGTCATGTACCTGAAACATATTAGTGTAATAGCAGTTGAACTAACATGTTATTACAAATACACACAACACACTCATGCAACACATGCAAAAAATACCTTTCCATTTAATTTGCCTTTCATCCTTTCTGGAACATTCTTTATTCCATTTTCCTCTGTCAGTCGTTCAAGAGAGCTGATTTCCTCCACCTAAAAAGTAGTTTCTTTCAATAAACATTTAACCATTGCAGATAAAACACTGAACTACTGTTTTGTAACATAGTTTACCTTTGCCCAAACTGATGTGTCTGTGAATATGAGATCTTCAGGGATGGACTCCAGTACTGGCTTTTCTTTTTTGTTGCGTTCAAGATAATCATTGTACACCTTTTCAATTGCTCTATAAAACAAAAATAAGGTAAGTCATTTTAATATTTTAGAGACCATTTGTGACTATTACTGTTTTCTGTTCCAAGAAAAACTCAGCCTAAATATGCAGGTTTGTGTGTTAAGCAACAAATATGCAACAAAACACAACTCCAGGTCTGTTTTTGATGAGGAAACAAGATCATAACAGATGAGAAAATAGCATAATATGGCTACTTTAAATACCGGTGTGGGCATATGGCTTCTGTGTTCTCTTCTGTATTGTCTTCAGAATGATCTTCAGATGGTCTCAGGTTATCCTTTCTCCCGGGCACCAAGTAGCCCCAGCCGTGTTTCTCCGTGTGGTGCAGAGGGAAGCCGTCCCAGGTCAGGCCCATAAGTTTTGGAGTCACTCTCATTTGGAGACTGATCAGACTGGCCCCGGGAGACCAGTCACTCACAGACATCTTTTCACACAGCTTCCGATACCACCTGACAAGATAAAACAGAAGTGGAAAAAATACTCAAAACGGCAATTACAGGGGCAAAACGAGCGGTCGTAATTGTCCACTGTGTGTAGAGAAATCGAGATTTTATTTTTTATTTAGCCATATCGCCCAGGACTAGTCTTGAAAAACATCTCCACTTTTCAGTCCAGATCAAAAAACTTTATCTGGTACCTGCTCTCAAATGTAGTGAAGTAAAAAGTATTCACTGTAAACCATATTTACCTGATTAAAGTACAAATATCTAAGCACTTTTGTTACTATCCACCACTTCATAATGATTAAAATTTGCAAAACTAACTTCAAATTTACTAAAACAACAAAATGAATACCCTGGATGTCCTGGTAAATGCTGTCTCCTCTTGGGAAGGCGATCGACTGTTGCCTTTAATGTTTCTAAAGCTTGTCTACACGGATTCACACAGTCCTCCTCTTCTTCAGGCGGTGGACCTTCATCTTATAAAAAAAACAAAAAAAAACACATAAGAGCAATGAATGGAAAGAAATAGTAAAGTAATATTGGTTTACCATCATCCCAGTTTGTAACAGGAGCAGCTGGAGTTGCATTTTTGGCCTGTTTCTTTTTAGTTGTTGCTTTCTTCTGTTTGAATTCCTGGACATCCCATTCCAGATCCCAAAGCCACGGGTCTTCCTTGTATCTTTAACGTAAGTGTATATTTAGTGTATATTTTTTCACTGAATGCTTTTGTACATTGTTAGTATCTCTGGTGTTATTCAGACCTTCCATCTTGCAGGAGCTGGCACGCGTCATCGGCTAACATCATCAAGGACTTCTTCATCTCCCTCTGGAGCTCTTCGTACGTGTCGTCAGAGTCCTCCAGGTACCGCCCCCAGTTTTGATTGACAGGTAGATAGCTCACGCCCATCTCCAACATCCCAGCTAAGGTCACTGGATGTGGACATCTATCAAAATAACGCACGTTTATGTCAAATTTTTACAATAGCTTACAAATGCTTAAAGGTGCACTATTTTCTGGTGGTATTTTCTAACATTTTCTAACATTTGTGGTGGTCACCTGCTTGTCTTCATGGAGATGTTATTGCTCTGTCTGGAGTGTTCCACAATACAACATTATGCTTACATACTGGATCTTGTACTTATTTAACAATAGTTGAGCTAAAACATGCTTTGCGTCTGAGCGAGGATTGTCTCTGTGACCTACAATTGGGCCTGATGACGCCACCTTTTTGTCTCAATGGATAAAGATAAAGTTCTACCGTGGAACATTCCGGGCAAAGTAGTTTTCATGAAGACAAGCTAATGGCAACCTCCCTCCTCCAGAAAAAGACATACTCCATCTTTAAACATTTGACAAACGTAATACCTTTCCATAAATAGTGGTAACTGCTCAGTGAAGACTTGCCGAGTTGCTTGTACATCGAGGGCGCAGTACTGCATCAATTCCTGCAGGCGGCAGTAAAAGCATGGTTACAGTCATAAGGGCTGTAGAACTGAAGGGCATATAGAGTTATATACTGTATGTGTTTGGCAAACCTGAAAGTTGCTTCTCACGTCACTCATGCTTCCCTTCACGAAAAATGTCTCTTGCCTCTTTTTGTAGTGGAGGCCCTCCCACGTAAAGAGCATGGACATCTGCCAGATTATTGATGCTGCTAATATTCACCCAATCCCATGAGCCAATCTAAGAAAAGAAAAATTCACATTTAAAAATGTTTATTTCAGTCCAGATTTATATTTATGGGGGTATGTAAAATCTCTCAGTCATCCAGGTAGAATCCATGGAAAAGGAGAAATCAATTTGTCAACTGGACAAAAATTAATTTTGGTCGAATACGAGCTGTGAAACGTATTTGACCAAAATAAACTTTTGTCCAGTTAACAAATTAATTTCTCCTTTGTTATATATTTATGGGCTTATATTTAGCTATTTTCTGATCTATGTTATAACGTTGTTTCCTCATCAAAAACATACCTGGAGTTGTGTTTGTGATGTCATGTGGTAATAGGGGAAGTGCTCCACTACGTTTCTGAAATCCATCCACCTTCACTAGAATAATGTGGATGATTTCAACTCTGGAATTACCAATCTCCACTGAACTAAAGGTAAAATGAGCTGTTAACTTAAAAACTAGCTCTTCATGACATCACAAGGTGGAACAGACCATTTTAAGTTTTGGAGATGTAGACAGACTAATAATAAAGGATTACTCAAGCATGTGAATGAAACAAAACGCAACTCCAGGTATGTTTTTGACGATGTAACAACAGTCTAACATAGCTTAAAGCTCATGAAAGTCAATGTAGTCTTCAAACAAATTACCATCGGGCCGTTTCTTTTCTGCCCAGTTTTCTTGATATGTTGCTTAACTTCCTGAAGGCCTCTTCGTTTGCCCAGTTTATTGGCCATCCAAAGAGTTCTCTGGAATCCAGTCAGTCCAGATATCGCCATGTGGAGGCTCATCGTGTCCATGAATCGCACCTTAGAGCCCTTTGAATTGGAAATAAAGAAATTGTGTTAATCATCTGATGTTAAAGGTGCACTGTGTAACTTTTCTGGTGTAGGATCCATCAAATACTTTTCTCCATGTTGATGTTATTGCTTTGTCTGGGATGTTTCACAGTATGGCATTAAACCTTTCTATCACCATGGAACCCAAACCAGACCAAGTTACAGGTCAGATCTGTAGAGAGGCAACCCCGCTCACAGTCAGAATGCCTGTTTTCTGTTTTTCATTGTTGAGCTATAAAACCACCTGTAATTGAATAAATGTAAGGTAGAGTTGTTTAATGTCATACTGTGGAACATTTCAGGCAGAGCAATGACATCTCCATAGAAACAAGCAGCTGATACAATGTAGGCTACAAAGTGGAAATCAGCTTTAGTTTTGTCTTTATTTGTCAGGGACGATGTATTATCTGACCAAGTTTTGTCCTTTTGTTTTGTTTAAAGGCAATGTGTAACTTTTTTTCTCATGCAAATGTTATAGCTTTGCCCAGGATGTTCCACAATATGGCGTTAAAGTCATTTATCTCTTGCATTGGTTCAGCTACAGATGTTTTTATTGCTCAGAAATACTTTAAAAAGCATGTGTCTGTATTGTGAGTGGGCTCCCTCTCCACAGATCTGACCTGTAACTTGGCCTGGTGGTGTCACACATTTGTTTTTATGGAGAAACAAACGTTTAGACTAAACTTTACTGATCCGCAAGAGAAATTACTTGGACACAGTAGCTCTCAGATCACAATATATTATAATAACAAAGAGACAGAATATAAATGATAATAATAAATTCTAAACAAGTAGAAAAAAATGCAAGAGACTAGTGTCAAACAATGGCATACTGTGGGACATCTTGATGAAGACAAGCAGATGACAGACCCTCCACCAGAAAACTTACACAATGGACCTTTAAAAAATGTAGGATGGAACAGAAATAACAGTTTAAAGATGCATAACACTATAATAATTTGAGATAAGATACTGAAAATGTTTATCTGAACTCATACCTTTAGTAAATACTGCTCCTTAATAAAAGATCGGTCAAAACTGACATTGTGCCCCACCACCAGCCTCTCCTTCCACTGTCCCCCAGGAGGTCGAGCTGAGTTGATGGAAGTTTCCAGTGGGATAAGGTCTGCTAATGTGAGCTGATTTGACCAAGAGTAGCGTTCTTCAATCAGACGTTTACTGCACCAGGAATACCTACAACAAGAGATACATATTATAGATTAATGCATTTGTATGGAACCATTATTTGAATATAGTTTAAAGGTAAAATTGACTCTGGTGAGCTTTAAGTCAAGTTATAATATTGTTACCTCATCAAAAACATACCAGGAGTTGTGTTTTCATTCACACATGTTTGAGAAATCCTTTATTATTAGTCTGTTAACTCCTCTAAAGCTCAAAACTCTCTCTTCCACCTTAGACTTCGACTTAAACCAACTTTATTGATCCACAAGAGAAATTATTTGGACACAGTAGTTCACACATCACAATATAATATAATAACAAAGAGTGAAAATATAAATGGTAATAATAAATTCTAAATAAGTAGCAGAAAAGCTAGCAAGAGACATGTGGTGTGAAATAAGACATCATTTTATAAATGTAAACGCACAAGTCAACATAATGTCATGAAGCTGTAGTTTTCAAGTTAACAGCGATCTTTTACCTTCAGTTTAGCAGACAGTGTAAATTCCATTGCTGAAATTATCCAAATGAGTCTAGTAAAAGTGTATGGATTACCACATGACATCACAAGGTGGAACTGAGTGTTTTCTGTTTGAGAGAAGTACTGAGCCTAAATCTGCAAGACTTTGTGTGTTAAACATGTGTGAAAGAAACAAAACACAACTCCAGGTCTGTTTGTGATGAGGAAACAACATTATAACATTGAAAATGATATAGTATTTGACCTTTAATTTCTACTGACCAGTTGGTTGGAGACACAGCCACAGCCAGAGTCGGACACTGACCCTCTGTTGTGCAAACCTCCACATCAAAAACCAAAGCGGATTCATCTGGGAAATCCACTTTTATGCTTTCCCCATTTGTTTTATAGCACGTCCAGCCCACTGCCCAGGCCCACTCCTTTGGCATAGGAGGGAGCTCGGCATACTGCAGTTTAATAGCTCCCTCCAGGTAAGGGAGACTCTGCGTTTTGGCGAGAATACGAAAGTGCTCATCAATATTGTCACCATACATCCGGGGAAGTTTGAGCTCCACATCTGGCAACAGAGAAGTCTCCTTGCCCCATAATTTGTGCTTTTTTAAGTGCTGAATACTGCGGTCCACATCCTCCTGCTTGTATTCTGGCTCCACACCTCGGAAGATCTGTTCGTGCAGGTTTTTCGAGAGCATTTGGATGTTAAGGGGGTTCATGCGGGTCTGGGTGCTGTCCTCCCCCTGAAGAGAAGGAGATTGTGTGGAGTACAGTGAGCGGAGACGAAGCCATGTTACACAGTTGGGGCTTTTCAGGTGTGATCCGCGGAGAACATGCAGCATCCCCTCAGAAACAAACGATGTGGGGATGACAAAGTTTATACATTACGATGAATAATAACAATGAGCTACTGGACAATTGCCCCAATTAATCTGCTCGTATTGCGAAACAAAATAAACGTTACTTTTCGGTTTCTAGGGAGTTGTCAGCTTTTAATTAGAAGATGTCCAAATTAAAATCGGCACGTTGTGTTTGTTTACCGCGATGCTCCGTGTTTCCTGTGTGTGAAGCAGTGAGTGCGCGCCCCCTGGCGGTCCGGATGACCACAGCTTTCACCCATATTTCACAAGAAAAAACTATAAAATCCGGTTTATGATTTTTTATTCTCACAGTGCAACAACCAAACGCTGTATAACTGATGTTTAATCATAAATGTTTTCATTCTTTTAATCTATAAAGAAGACTGTAACTTAATTTGCCTTATCGTACTGGCCGCGTGGCCTAATGGATAAGGCGTCTGACTTCGGATCAGAAGATTGCAGGTTCGAGTCCTGCCGCGGTCGCAGTTTTTCTGGATCTAATTTTATTTTTAAAGGTACAGTACGTAACCTTTTGGGGGTGTTACGTCACCTGAACAATTCAGTCAAGATAGAACAGCAGAACCATACTTCAGAACATTTTCCATGTCGATAGATGTTTTATTCAATAGCGACGAGAACAGCATTTCTTTGGAAACAAGTAGGTGGAGTCAGGTTTGAGGAGATGCAACTCTGCGCACACAGCTGAGGACACTCACAAAAAAAAAAAAAAAAAAAAGACAAAAGAAAAAAGTTTTTACTTGAGCCTTTAAATATATGTATGTAAAAGTTACATGTTCATTCTTTAGGAAATCAAAAATAATCGTCAGTTATGATTCATTTTAATGTAAGTTTACCATTAAATAAATACTTAAGAAAACTGCAGACTCATATTCTCTCTCTACAACATTATGTGATAGTATGGCAGGAAAGAGCATGCCAGTTGTGGTCACTGCCTTTGCCTTTGCCTTCATTATTATAATTGTAATACTTTGTTTTTATAGCTTCTTCCAGATACCACATTATTTCAAGTTCAATGTTATGTAAGTCTGAATGGCATAATTGATAGTATCTTCAAAGCAAACCCTGTGAGCTGTGAGAGGTTTCACAACACTGGCAGCTAGAATTAGGCTAAACTGTAAAAAACATTCAGCTCCTGCCTCCCAGTCATAAAGGCATGGGGGATATAAGGAAGATAGACCAAGAAACAAAAATCCAGTGCTTTTCTTGTCCTCTTTATGCGGAATTGTCATGTTGCAGCTGGTCCTGTGTTATTTTTATATTGTCAGGGGAAAATGTAATACTATTCTGTAAGTGCTATTGCAAAATAATAATAGTAAAGTACGTTCACATTCACATCTATGGTTGTAACATGAAATTGGCCAATAATTTAACCAATAATCTTAATATTGTAAGGCTATAATATCTAGAAATCACTGTCTAACCTTTATCCATCTTGTAAAATTAGACTTATAATGCAAGACAAAAACAAACTCTATTCATTTGTAGGAGAGGTGTCTATCTGCTTTGACCTATAGCTTATAATAAATAAAATAAATAAATATATAGCTTATACCACATGTTTTTGACAATAGCCTATAATTTATTTATTTTTATTTATTTAAAACAAGGACAGAGCACAGAAAACATTAAACTCAGAGAGAAAAGATGCTCTGTGCCAGATTTATTTATAATCTACTTTCCATCTGCAGTTACAAAATACATTAAGGAAACTATTTACATTCTAGTAACAACATTTCATCATTAACAGTGTCTCTTTAAAATAATCACTATCAAATTCATCATTAAACATTTAAAACAATCAAATTTAATTCATAATTTCCATAAATACAAGATTTTAAATTCATATTTATCTTCTAAAAATACTGTACTGTACTGTATGTATATTTACCAAGTTCATCAGTATTATTATCCTCTAAAATACAATTCATCATCAACATTTATCAGAAAGACAAATGTCAAAACTCAAACACAACACATCTATAGTACAATCAGTCAGAATTTCATGTAATTTGAAATTTTAACAAGACTAAACTTAGATTTCTTTTATAATTTATCTACGAAAACAAGCAAATTCATCATTGTAGGCAATTAAGAATTAAACTCCTGCTTCTGTAAATAATCACAAACCACAAGAGTGCCACAAAACCTTGCAGATTATTAATAGTTTGCGGTATATAATGAAATCTATACGTATAAATCCACTGGTTGCTTGCATATGTGGGCTGTAGGACGTGTTTAAGCTGCGGAGGAGAGGAGTGGGATGTCTGTGAACTTGGTGGAGCTGTGATACGGCGCGCTCTGATTGGTCCGCAGTCCCGTGGTGGCGTCAGTGCGGGCGCAGTGAGGAAGCGGCGCAGAGCTCGTGCACGGGCAGATGCGTGCGGACTCTGCTCCAAATCGCACTCATCAGGAGCATCAGGACAGCAGCGCACTCAGACACAGAGGGCCCGACCTGTGGCAACCCAAATTAAGAAGGGATTTCATTACACACTTGTTTCAACGAGATGTTTGCGCTTTCCGTGCGTAAAGGTAAGCTCAGATCTTTCTCTTGCAGCGTGGAAAAGCGTGGGTTGCAAAACACAGCATTAGCATAAATATTTTCTGGGCTATTGTAGAGATGTTTTTGCAGGACATTATTTCATGTATTTTCAGACCTAACCCGATGTATTCTTATTACACTTTTAATATAATACGCTGTGATCTGCTTTTAGAGACGCTTTGCAAACCTGTCTCCTTCAGATAGTAAATTTTGTTGGAAACACAGCAGTTCATTTAGAAAAGCAATATAGTTTGGTTATTTTAAGGATTCAAATAAATAAATAAAACAACAATCTGAATTATTAAAGCAATGAAAAGCAGTCAGATTTGTGAAGAAGTAGGCCAAACGATCCCACTGAAACTCAAGTGTTGAGCATTTTGTCCCTTCTTTTCTTGTTTTCTTGAATCATGGGTACCAGGCCGGCCTAGTTTGGACAGAAAATGTTAGTTTTATTGCATATTAGTCTAAATAACTCAGTAAAACATGTAATAAAGGCCTAGAAGAATTACTGAAGTTTACACATCATTAATTGGGTTTGGAAAATATTGACTTCAGAAAGAGTGGATTTGCAGATAAAGAATTTCAAACAGATTTTAAACACAATTTCACATGTTTCTACAATAGTACATATTAAACTGGGCCTTATTAACCATAATAATAGCATGTATACAGCTAATAAATCACAGGCCTATTTAACAAGAAGTAGAATATATATAATACAGTATATTATTTGTGACCTATATGTGTTTCATTCATTCAAAAGTTTAAACTATGGCAATTATTTGCATATAAAACCTGTATTATTGTTCTTATAATATGTGGAAAATTGACCTGAGGCTGTGGGCATGAAGCAGGCCTCAACCAAACATAAAACGCAGCCAGCCTATTATCTTTTCTCTCTGCACACTTAAACTCCTTTTCTCTTACAGTTTGTCTATTTTAAATGTTGTTCACGGTCTAAATCAGACTTTAACTTTTCATAGAGCCCCAGAGCTTCATGTCCAGTCCGAAGAGAGACTGTGAGGTCTGTTTCTGTCTTTGGTTATCTAGCTGTATGAGTCTAATAACTGTCATAAAGCTAGATAACCGAATGTAGAAATGACTTCAGCTGTAGCTTCGTGTGCTCAAAAGATTTCAAGGCTGTAAAGGTAAGACTCTTTTTAACTAAATTGATAAGAAATGTAATATAATGTAATGAATGTAGTCTCCACGGTTAATAGTAGTAAGAAGAGTTTATTTATATAGAGCTTTTCATAGACATAGATCAGAAAGTGCTTCACGTACTAAAAAGAAACATTCATAATCACATCAGTCGTAGAAGATGATTGTTGTTAATAATATTTTTGTACCTCAAATTAAATTAGACAGGCCTATCTATTACAGTGTCTTTAAGATTGCAGATAATGTTCTGAAGTGGACAAAATGGAATATAATGTAATAGTCTCCACTGTTAGTAGTAGTAGTAAGATAATAATATTTTTGTACTTCATATTAAACTAGACAGGGAGATCTATTACAGTGTTTTTGTCTTTAAGATTGCAAATAATGTTCTGGAGTGGGCAAAATTCTTGAGACTCAAAGTTAGAAAAACACTTGGTGCTCTTATTTAAAATGGGAATGAATCCTGGACCTATTGGGAAACATTGTCTTGGGTGAATAAGAAGGGCATGGTCGTCCTGTAGACAAGAGCTGAACTGTGGAGCTTGGTCCTTAAGAGCCGTGCATTGGCCACTCTTCTCCAAAAGCACGCCTCAAAAGCCTAAAGAGTGCCAAAGTGAGATGAGTTTTCTTTCACTCTGCTCACTACTTACGGCTGCAGAGCTCGCTGTCAAACCAGGCTAATTGCTTCGTTTCACAGGGACATATTGGAAATGTGAAAAGGCCGAAGTCCCATTTTTATTCTTCTATAGGTCGTGTAAGAATGTGGTGTGTTTAATAGAAGATTACATTGTTATGCTCTTCAAAAATAATCCAAACTTTACATTTACTGTGAATGCTTTCTCAACTTATTTTACAGGCTCCACGAATCAAGTTTAAGAGAAAGCATGAAGCGAATGTAGCCGCCATTTCTCCTTCCCTCCGCCTTTAATGCCATCTGCTGTGCCAACGTCGTGTGCCAAGAGAGAGACAAAGACCTTACCAACGTTTGAGTTTGGGCGCGCTCAGGAGCCATCTTGGGAGATTCAGCTGCGATATCTAAAATGGCTGGATTGGCATATAAGGTGAGCAGCATCCTGGGCTGTGCTGGGTACCAGAGGTGGAGGTGTTGGTCGGGCAGCAGGGGGCAGGGCAGGGGAGGGAGGGGGAGGGAGAAGAGGAAGAAGAACGAAGAGAAGACTTTCACATTTCCTTCACAGTTATACAAGGCCTCTCCCTCGTTCCCTCTATCTTGTGCTCGTGCTAATTAGCAGTTAAAGGCTGATGTGAGCGGGCGCGGAGGGGGGGAGGGGGGCAAACACAGTTAATGAGCTGGCACCAGTTGAAGGAAAGCTGCCATCCTCTCGTCATGACGCTTCTGCTGCACCAGGAGCAGGTGTAAACCGTCTTCCTCCTGATTCAGTTTGAGATTAATGCTTATACAAACTGGTCTATTCATTTCCCTTTAGTGATTTTATGCATTTTCAACTAAAATAGT